ACAAGGCGTACATCTGACACTGCTAATAATTGGAAAACTGTTGCAAGTCTTTCCTGCTGTCATCAGATGAGATAATGTGGGGGTTTTTTTGAAAGAGCTTCTCATAAAAAATACACTAGCAGAAACTTTGATTAAAGGGATCTGAATATTGGAACAATTACGTTTTTGAGCTATCTTTATGTCAGCCATCCTGAAATATTTTGTTAAAACATGTATTTTAAAACACTTATTTAAAAAAACCCCACAGTTATGTTCCAGTATATATTTTCAGTAGTATTCAGAAGAGATCTGTGCTGTACAATCATGGTCTTGGTGATTTGGGGTTTGATTTTTATTGGACAGTTCTCTTGTATTGCCTCACATTTTTGTACATAACTAATCATTCTGATCTTGAAAGGCAATAGCTAAGAAAGTGGTTTCACAATTGGCTTACACATTCCCACGTATCCCGGGTCCTAACAGCGCATGGGGGGTTATTCCTCGCTTCAGGGCCTGTGTTCATGTTCCTGCAGGATCAGTCGGATCCGGGAGCTGCTTTGGCATCTGCGTGGCTCAGATGCTAATACAGGCAGAGGAGAGGGGTGTTTATGTGCAGGGGGAGGGAGGGGCAAAGCAAGACAGCTTCTTTGGTGGCTGCCCATACTTAGGTCATCTTCAAATGATTATGAAACCTCAGGCTGAGTTAATTTGCATTCATGTTTGGATTTCTGGTTTCTGTGAGGTTCAGAGCTTTACCTTGTATGAAGTATCTGCCATTGTCCAGTGCTACAGCACATTGTTATCCTAAGCCTGTTGTAATTGTTCTGTGGTAATAACAAAGGCGGAAAATGAAAGAGAAGTAACAACTTGCAAGTGTCAAGTTTCTGTCCTCTCTCTTTTTGTGTACAGAATTTGTGGTGTTAGTGCGGGCTCTGAAGGATATTCGGCAGACTGGAATGCAGCGGCTGCAGACAGCGAGACGTCCTGTGTATAGATTTATAAATGGGCTGTAGGAAGGGTGGAATGCTTTATAGGTGCTGCCTGTATTAATCCTTAAGTGTATGATGATCAGATGTCAGTGTGCATTTTGTTAAGGCTAAGAACATTTTAGAGAAAAAAAAAAAGGCAGAAAATATAGTAAATGCACACACACTATATCTATTTTTTAGAGTGCAGGCAAGTATGCTGAAGCTGCTTCTGCTGTATGTAAAATACCCTTAGTTGCGTGGAACCTGGCAGCCTTGTGGATTATGTCGGTGATCCAGTATAATTCTAACAGTAATCTGCTAGCACCATTACTTCAGTTAGTATACAATTACACTTCTTTGGGTTGGGGTTTTTTTGGTGCCAAACATTCAAAGCAGAATTGCAGGCGTTGTCAAGACTCACTTTAACAAAAAGTCACTGTAAATTAAAACTGTTAGTTTTATTAATAAAGCAACATGGATTTTGTATAGCTATAGCTATGCATAAATATATCTAATTTCTTATATAAAGAGAGAAGAGGCTATCTGTGTGTCTGCATATATGTGCATATAGTATTTAGGAGCTGTAGGATTAATGGGTATTCCAGTATTTGCAAAGATTCGATACCATACCTAGCATGAAGACAGTGATAATGCAGCGTTGCTATCGCTTTTTCTTCCCAGCATCGGTGCTTAGACCTGGCGGTCTACGGGTTGTTACCACTATTGATGGTGATGTCTTCATGCTGTTGTGGGTTCCCTTATTTCTGCAGAGGATTCCATAATCAGTTGCGAGTACACTTGATGGTGATTTCACATCTATCAATTGTTTTGGTGGATGGAAGGAAGCTAACCTGTGGATATACTGCTATCTTTAGTTTCCTTAACAATGTTGCTGAAATACAAAGTAATTTTATAGGGCATGCTGTTGGGTAAAAATGGTTATTAGAATAATAATGCTATCAAGTAACCTGTCTTGTATGTAGACAGTTTCCTCTCTCCTTGATATGTTTAATAGTCCATATGCATTAGATACTGAGCATGTTAATATGTAATGGTTCTGGTATACAATGGGAGGTTTATTTTTCTTATAGGCTTAAATAATACAGAGATTGTGCATTCTCTGTACACATGAAATACTGAAAACCTTTTCATCCATGTACTGGGTCTGAATGTTAGAGTTCTTTCAGCTGGAAATGCAAGATCTAGTCAGGCTACAGAAGCATATATAAACAATGTTCACAAATTTCAGTGGAGTTAAAATGAATCTCAGCATCATTTGGACTGATCTTTTGGCTTATTTGGAAGATTACAATAAAACCCGAGATTGAATTCTCTACCTGATTCAGTTTCTTACTGATTGAATCCTTTTAGACTCCTCTCTAATTTAACAGTGTATTTTTATTAAAGCCAAGCATACAAACATCAATTATCCAAGCTGCATCTAATTTCCTTCAACATTTTTTTTTCCTTTTGCTGCCAATGGATTAGAAGACCTGATTAGAATTCAACTTGAAAGCTGAAAAGCAGATCCTTAAATGAGAATGTCTGCATTAGGAATTAAAATATCTGTACGGGGCATAAAATCCTCCTCCTTATCTCTAATAATGTAAACACACTTGGTTAAGTTGATCTGTCACATGCCTGGTGCAATGTCGCTGAATTAGGAGCATGTATTAGAAAGGGCGGAACAGTTTCTGTGGCTTGTCCCACTGATAGAATACAACACTAGTATATTTTAACATCAAAGTGCGCTTTGCATAGATATCTCTCTACCGTAAGGGTTAGTGTGATAAGAGTTTGAAGGGCTCTATTTTTTCTTTGTGTTTCACGTCCTAACACCAAGAATGTTTGCATGTGCACAAGCAGTAGGAGCAAGGCAGAGAAGGGGCCTTGCCTTCTGAGGTTTCACTGTTGGTAGATTCTACGAAGTTAAGGATTTTATAACAACACAAAGGTGAAATAAATAATTGCAATGGCACCACCAGCTTAGTATCCAGAAAACCTAGACTGGTAAATGCATGCATTTAACACAACATTAAAGTGTTGGCCCATGTCTAAACTATAAGAAAGTGTTATAAAATCAATTAAATTGTATGTTTTGATTTAACTGGATTATTAATTTCCTTCTGATACCTAGTGTGCTCTGCCTGTGATGAGGAAGCCGCGTCATGAGCCATATGCAGGCTGTTACTGTGCAGGCTTTATGAACCGGAGCAATTGGGTCGTGTACTTGAATCATTTTACCTAATTTCAGAGGGAGAAACTTGGATATCAGGATTTTTAAGGGAGTTTATTATTAATTATTGTTCTACTTATATAGCATTAGAGATGTTTTGTGCTTTGAAAATGCACACAAGAATTCTGTTTATAGTATTGGGATGCCCAGAAGAGCGAGCAAATCTTAATTCGCCACTGCGAATAGTAAGAGGAGAAAAGTAGCAGGGGCAGGCAGCATCCTAACACATCAGCACTGGAAAACTAGATGAAAGAGTTGGTGGCTAATAAGCTTGAGAGGAGAAAATGACACTGTGTCCAGGATAGTCAGATGGGAACTGTTCTGCCTACTTTTGGGTGGCATCATGAGAAGTCTTGGAGCTGGGAGCAGCAGCAGGTGATGAGAGAGATGTCAACAAGGTAGTCCCATTGCCATCTTCATTTTATGACTGTTCTGCTAGCATTGGAGTTGTATAGTGCGATGTAGATGCAGCATATGTTTACAGTAAGGGATGTTTTTGCAGCCGAGGGTACTGCTGAAGGATATTGGTGAGCTGCTTTCATGTGGGAAGCAAAGTATTTGTTGAGATTTTTTTCTTTTTATTGCTGCATTGTGGATGGCAGTATTACTAACAGTGGTGAGCTTTCAATCTGTGTGTGTGACTGCACATCACAGGAGTTAATTGTCACGTTTTGTCTGCAGAGAAATATTAAACCTGATTGTGCAGAGCTATAAACGTGCGTGACTGCAGGGAATTTTCTTGGTGCTGGTATAAGTCTGGCTACCTGGAGGTGGGCAAAGTGAATCTGTTCATCCTGTGCAATGAGTTAAGCATAATTGTGGTTGACATCAGGCACAAGTGAAATCCAGTGATGTTTTATTCCTTCAAACCTAATCCCCTCTTTATCTTGTCTTCTTTTGAGTCAACGTGATTCTGGCAAAGCCTGTTTGTGACACCCAGTGAAGCTTATTGTAGAGGACCCTGAATGTTGTGGATTAGCCCCACTATGGAATGAGAAACAGCATAGGCATAGCCGCATCTGTGTGGTGTCCCCCTTGGCTTAATAAGCCACGGTGGGAAGCCTGGTATATGAACTTGAGTTCAATGTTATACTACCTTACTAAGTGCAAAGAAACCATATTAGTATCTTGTATGTGTTAATGTCTTGTATGTTGTGAAAGGTAATTTAATTGTGAATTGGGTGCAGCAATTTCAGTTTCCAGAAACTGATGACTAGCAGGTTTTTTGAGGTTATCAGTTAATCTGTTGTAATGAATGTTCTTCATTACATGCCTCTCCCTGTTAATTAGAAGGGATTTTTACTCCTCTTTATCAAGTCAGGGCAAGTATATTACCTTTTCCTCTGTGCTGTTTATGATAAAGTGCATATCCAGATTGTTTTGTGAAGTGTCCACATGAATATTTCATTGCATGTGCATCTGCACATTCATACGCTGTGTTTTCTGAGCTCCAACCTCTGATGATTGTTCAATACATTAAAAAAATCCAAAATACAGATTGTTTATTGTCTTTTTATTTATACTTATTGGTAGAAGTTCCCCTTTTCTGTGTAGTAATGTGTTTATGATATTAATTACCATGCCAGTTTAGACCAAGGCAATTAATCACTGCTACACGCTACAGAAACAACAGACTCAGAATCAAGTTCTCTGAGTACAGAGGTGAAGCTTGTACCTTCCATAAATGAGAACCTGCCTGACAGAGGGGAATTTGTACCCTGGTTTGGATCTTTTACCTGTGTTTATTTAAAAAACATAGCCAAAACAAAACACAAATAAAAACCCCACCTATTTCCTACTCTGTTCCTTTCCTACAGGTTGAAGCAATACTTGTAAACATTTTTGGTGGGATCGTGAACTGTGCCATTATAGCCAATGGTATTACCAAAGCTTGCCGAGAGCTTGAGCTGAAAGTACCGCTGGTGGTCAGACTGGAAGGTGAGTGCTAATGGTGTCAGACAAAAATCGTCCCTCAGGTGCACAATAATCCACTCTGGCTTTCTTCGATCTCTAAGCTCTAAACAGATTAGTCCCACACAGTACGAATATGTCCAATTCTTCATCCATAGCATGACCTGAAGTCAATAAACTCTTTCCTTATGCATTTCTGTATTCCTGGTCCCTGGTGGTACTTGAAGCAATGAAATTTTGCAATGAAAGCATTATGGTTTTGCTTGTTACATTTGCATTGCAAATAGAAATTATTTTGATGCAAGTTTCTGTTTACTGGGAGGTATTTCTTTTTCAAATGATTTTTACTGAATGCAATTCCTTTATTGCTAAACCCGTAGTAACATACAGTTTTCTTCAATTTACTCCAATATCATAATTAAAAGAAAGATGTTAGAAACGGTATTTGTGAGAGAGAGATTACTGTAATGTGTTCTTCTACCCAAATATCCAATCGAGCTAAAATCCATTAAAAAACAGAAGATTTGGTAATGGTAAGGAATATATTTTTTAGTACATCCAGCATTGTTAAACTGGAAACAAAAAAGTAATAGAGAGGTAAGGAACAGCGCTCTTTGGCAGTTACTGGCTTTAATATAATGGCAGTGGATACGGAGTTCTGTCTCTAATTTTGGAGAAGTACCCTGAAGGAGGAAGGGAGATTCTTCTTCTGCCATTGAATGAAAAAGTGCTTTGATTGAAATCAGCACACGACTCTGGTAAGCTTAAAACATTGCTTTTTTGCTAAGTAGGTTTGGAAAATAGAGGGTTTTCTGCGTTTTTTTTTTTTTTTAAAGCCTGTTCCTCAAAAATGTCAATATTCATGTTTGGGTGTGTGTAAAGAGCATAAAATGTCCTATCACTCAGCATTGGCGGTGAAAGGAGGAAATGCATCCCTCTATGTACCTGAGATGTAAAACAATAAGGTCTTTTTTAACACTGTGATAGAGGGGGGAAGGAAAAAAAGTTCTGAATACACCAGACTTTTTCCTTTTCAAAAAATAAAGTCACCAGGACTCATGAAGGTGAAGGTGGTACTTGTTTTGCCTTTCATGAAGCCCTTTGGTGAGGGTGGTACTTGTTTTGCTTTTCATGAGAAAGCAGGGTTTTCCCATCCCTCATTCTCATGCTACATTGCACGTGATACGTAGTTCACGTCAGGGGACACCACAGCCCAGTTTTGTCCTGTAAAAGTTCTGCTGTGCATTTCACTGCAGGGTTCGAACGCTTTCCAGAGGGCATTCTTGGTTTAACATGGGTAGACTTTTGCTGTGGTAAGTGCAGGAAATTTAAATACTCTAAAATGGATTTTAGAAACAAATGGTGAAAATTTTCTTTGGATGATGCAGCACCACTAAACACCTTAAAAGAGTAAATAGATAGTTTAATATGGATGAAGGAGAGACTGATGGATGTTGGTTAGAAGCAGGAAAGTTTCATAATGTAAAATCTCATTGTTTATCAGCTCTAGGCAATGTTGTTTAGCTTTTTGTCATAGCAAAAAACTTTTCCTGTCTGTCATAGCTGGGAAAAAGCTTATCTCCCAGATCTGCAAGGCTTCTCATCTATTGTAGCTGTTATTTTTTTCAGTGAATATATTGGAAAAGCCGTTAGTTTTCCTTATGAACAAGATAGTTGCAAGTTGTTTCTATTGCAATATTTGAAACTGGTATAAGAGAAACAAGAAAATCAACCTGCTCATTTTAAACTACAGTCTGCTAGGTCTGCCACTGGGTTTTCTTGACCTTTCTCCAATACTTTCAATACTTCCATGATTGTACACAAGTAAGGGTGAATTTTTTTTTTAAGGTGACTTCTGGGAGATTGCAAGAGGCAAAGCAGTCCCCGGGCTGAATGAGGAGAGTCCCGGTGCTACTGCACTGTGGAGTTTGGCTGGAAGAGAAGGTGTGGAGCAGGAGTGCCTCTGCCTGGGGGTTGCAGAAAGCCCTGCAGAGGTGACTGTTCCCCTTTCCCCCTGTTCCCCTTGTGCCTGCGACCTTTATGAGAGTTGTGTGCTGTTTCATCCACAGAGGCCGAAGCTGAATCTTCAGAATGTCTAACACAGATTTTAATGCAAACATCTTTTCTTGGTCATCTTCCCATGATTGCTTACTCTTTACTAGGTTGGTAATAATGCTTCTCCTAGACTAGTTGCTGACTCCAGAGATGGCGATACCACGTTTTCTTTAGGAAACTCTGTCCCAGTGTAATACAGCAAACTCTCCCTTTTGCGTAATATTTATCTGAAAAGTTTTTTAATTCCTTCTCTTATTCTTAGTGTTACCCATCAGCTCATCCTAAACGAAGAGCTATGTTGTTTACAGCCTTCAGACGTTGTACTTAGAAACTGTTAGCTTGTAACTCCTGCTTTCTCTGCCTCCTTAATCATCCAACCAAGCAAAATATATATATATATATATTTGGTTCTTTTAATCTTTCCTCAGAAATCAATCCTTTTGGATCGTTAATCATCTTCGTTGTTCTTCTCTGAACTCATACCGGGTTATCCAAACATATAAGGATTTTGAATTAATAATGAGTACTGTGGAAGTAATAAGGCAGCCCAAGACTTTTTAAAAAGTCACCAATAGCATTTTACACCTCAAAAGGAGAAAAAAGGACAAGCACTTTTTTGGATTTCCATTTTGAACATTTTTCCAACAGAAGGTTCATGATTTATTCCCATAACTCTAACGGATTTGTGACCTGTACTTTAAAGACTCTTTGCCTGCATGCACTGTATTACAAATGTCTTGATGACTAGAGTTTTAATCAGTCAAATCTGTCCTGATTTAGCAGGATTCTGTGGACAAATCTTTGTTCTCAGTTGTATAATAAATACAAGCTGTTTTACCAGTGGATAAAGAAAGGATTACTCTCCTCTTTGAAAACAGTAACGTTATAATTACATGTATTTACTTGCCTTATCAGTAAAGAAATCACCAGCTGAGATGCGGGATTATTGTTGTTTAAAAAGCTCATGGACAAATGGAGAAACCGCATATTCCAAATTTTATCCTTTACAGATGTAGAAAACTAACTTCTGCTGGTTTTATGCAGCATTTTTTCCTCTTTAAAGTGTAATGTACTTCAGTTAAGTTTTGTGAAAACTAACAAGGAGCGCTGAATGGAAGCCAAACTTTGTTTCTCATTTATGTAGCTCAGAGTTAGATGAAAAAAGGAAAGAATGAAAAAGAATTGTAAATTAGATGTCCTCTTCCTATGCTAGAAATTTTACATTCTCTCTCTTTCAACAAATTAATTCTCTGCTTCTGTGGTCATAGCACAAGAAGAATTGGGAGGAATTAGAACTAGTCGATACATTGAAACATAGCTAGAAGCAAGTTGGCTTTTATTCACATGTCTGAATCCAGAATTTCCTGTTATATTTTCAGCCATGTGATTCAAGATCTTCTGTGTTCTTCAGAATCTAATGATTTTTTTTAATATATTCAGAAATCTTTTACACACAAGTGAAATTTAGCTCCAATTTGTATATCTTGCTCAAAAATACAGTTTAGTATGTATGCCTGTGATTTTTAGTATCCCAAATTGCCTATCAAGAGAGAAGAATGGGATATTGCAAAGTCACATTTAGAACTTTATTTGTATCAACCTCTTCAGACACTTTGGGTTTAAACATTCAGCATGAATTTAAATGTGCCTGAGTCTTTCCCAGTTTGGATGTAAACATGGGGCAGGGGAAAAGAAAAAAACTGTTCTTTGGGAAAAGTTTAAGATAGAAAAGGGCGAACGGGGTGGACAGAATAGAAAGGGTTTAATTGTCTCTTAAGAGACAATTTTTAAAGTGAAAGTTGGTTTGTTCTTGACTGCAGAGCCAACAGCTACCAGATGTGTGCGCCACCAAAACTTCATACGTTCCCTCGCTAAAGGTCATTACTTAAAGCTGATCCCTAGCCAAACCTCAAATCAAATGTTGAGTGAAGGTTAGCTGGTGATGGACTTTAAACCTTGTCCCTTATTCTCCAGTACCTCTGTCTTTGAGACCTGAGAGGCTATGAGTTCCCAGCTTGTGGGCTAGCAGAAATGACATAACCTGGCTACATGCCAGGGAGGGAAATTTGGCTCTTAATATGCCTCATAAGTGTAGCATATCAAAGCTGAACCATTACTGTTGATAATGTAACATGGTCACAATGTGTTCACGTCAATAATATTGTCAAATGTACTGCATATTGTGAAATATTTTGTCGTAGCAGAATGTTTTGGGTAGATCAGATTATTTTTTAGGTTAGTCTTCTATTTCTTAGGATGTACCAAATGTATATAGCTGTGTCTTCTCCCCTTACTTACCTGAAAAGGTAGAAATGGCATTGCAGAGTCTTGCATCCTCTCCAGCCATCAGCATTAAACAGTGGCAATTTAGCCTGTTCCTAATTGTTTTATGACAGTGCAAATGAATAAATGAACATTATCAAAATCCTGTCAGAGTATGATTGGGGATGTTTTGTTTGGTTGGTTTTTATTCAACCTGTGCAGTCCTCTTGACTCATTTGTAACAATGTGTGCTGGTATAATCTTAGAATTTATAGAAGCATGCTTAGATAGAATATTTATTACTAGGATTTTTAGGTAATGAGTTGAATAGATTCACTTTGCTAGTGAAAGCAGAGCTTTCAAGGCAATGGAAGTGTAAATGTGAGCGATTGCATGTACACAGGCAGAGAGGTTGTTTCGGAACCCAAGTTTCAGAAAGAGGATATTTAGATTAAAAAGCCTCAAAGTATCTGCTGATAAAATTACATCTTTCCTGTTTTTCCATGGAGTGTCATTGACAGTAGTAGGTGTCAGAAGGAAAAAACTTCTTTTTCTCATCAGAAAGCTATTCCCTTAATAGGAGTAAACTTTAAAAAAAAAAAAAACAAACGAACAAAAAAACCCTGAACAAAAAACCTCCAGCAACAACAACGAAAGCCCTGTAACCTTCAGTCCTGTGAATTTTCACTGTTTCTCAGTTGGCTACAGGGTAGGTGAAGGGCAGGTTCTTTCGATAGCCTGTGTGGGGGATTCTTTTTACAGTTCTCTGACACCATCCAGTGGCAGGAGGTTAATGTTAGAATAGTGGGATTATTTATTTGTTTATTTTAATGTCTACTGCAATAAGATGATACCCTTTGTAGATTCTTAAATGTTTCCTGTGCATGATAATTTCTGTATTCTCCATATATCTAAAATACTTATCACAATGGGATAAAAAGCTATCATTAAAAGAAGAAATTACAGCAAAGGAAATGCTTGCTGAAAAATATGTTTAGTTGTATGGCCTGCCTATAAAACAGTACTTTATTTAATCAATACAAAATGTACCCTTACTCTTCTGACTGCAGTGAGATTTTTTTTCAGCTTTCATATTTTCATTTGTCTGCATAAACTCCCCCTCCCTTCTTAGTGGACTGTGTTTTGTATTGATTTTGTAATGCATGTTAGACAAGTGGTGCGTAGAGCAATCAATGCAGTGCAGAATAGATCCAATGTATTGTTCCCACTCTGACCTGTTAGTAAATTAATATTGGCCACTTAGTGAAGAGCAAAAGTTAGTTTTAAGTACGTGGCTATCACAAACAGCATAATGTTTTTCTCTGTGGGAAAATTTTTCCCTCTTTCCGTTTTTTCCCTCCTCACAACACTTTGTCTTGTAGAATCCTGTTTGAGAGATCGGTACAATCTTGACTGTTTAAAATGTTTATCACACTTGTATCTAAATAATAGATAAAACCTTCAAGACTTGATAGGAATCGCTATACAAATGTGAGGAGCTGAACAGAGAAGAGAACCTTCCTAGTGCCTTCTGACTTCCCTGTACAGTTCTGTACTGGCAATTAACAGCTTCCACATTATGTTATATAGGATGGTTGAAAAATAAATCAAATATTATGCTCTTTTTTGCCCATATATTCTTTTTTCTGTAGGAAAAGTCCTGTACAGTTCTGGATGTTACTATGCAACCAAATCCCCCTTCTGCCAGAGATTTCAGATGTCTTTGACCTTCCTACACAAGTCCTACAGTGCGTCCTCTGCATATCGATGGGAAGCATGACCTCTTCTGCCAGTGCTTTTAAACAGCTAGCAGATGGGGTCCTGCATTCCTCTTCCAGACACCTGCCTCTCCTATCACAAAGTGCTGGGGCCTGCTGCGACGGTGCCGGGAGTGGGAATCCTGACTTGCGCATGCTGATGAAACAGACTTCTGAATTTCTCTGCTTCTGCTGTACAATTTCAGACATTTTAGAAAGAAAACCCCAAAATCACCCTTAAGTTGCATAGTAAAGAATATGCTCCTTGCTTGGTTAATAATTAAGGCTATAATTAGTGTATAGCTCCAAATATAATTAAAATTCATTTTGCTAGGTCTAGGAATTACAAAGTAATTAAGCGTTTTGACATGGCAAATGAACAAGGAACTTGATGTGGAGGAGGGGGCTAGAAGTGATCCCAAAGAGGATCAGCTCAGGGTCTTGTGCTTGTGACTAGTGGTGTGATCCCAAAGTGCGGATTCCACTTCCTCAGTAGGATATCTGACTCCAAGTTCTTCTGTGGTGCAGAACAGATCAGTGATGAAAGCTTTGGAGAATCCACATTTTCTGTTTGTCTTTGTTTTCCATCAAGACAGAGCTAGAGTAAATGGGAAGGTGATGCACTTGTTCACTTTTATACAAGTGAACAGTGTGAAAAACACGCTTTCCTGAAATATCTTTTTTAATTTATGCTTTTTTCCTTTACTGTGCATGTAGTCTGTTGACTAAATTTGAATTCTTTATGTACAAAATGGAGCACTTGTACTGTATGGCTGTACAGTCATCTTCAACATGGGATAGTATAGTGCAGCAGCAGAGGAGGGAACAGGGTCACGCTGAATGCTTCAGAGCTCTGTATGTTCCCCTTTTTTAGCAGAAATGCAAAAAAGTGTATTCAATAGCAACTCAAAACCAGTTAGATTTTCAGTATTACCCAAATCTTTGTCTTCCAATAGCCCGTTTTGCAGCTTTCAGTTAACATGGGTGAATTTTAGTTATAATTGATTCACTGACTGCTGATTAGCTGTTGCTGATTGTTGCTAATAAATGCGTTAAATCTTCTGAGTATCTTAAAGGCCTGATACGTGATCCGTTATCCACTGCTCTTGCTGGATGTCCCTACTGACTGGTGGATGTTGGATTGACCCTCTAATCTTCACAAAGCTCCTCATGTGGATGCAAGTGCTATTGTCAGATTGCATTGTCTGTCAAAATTGTCATTGAAATTAGGAGTTCCTTCTTCTCAGCTCAGTCTGAACCACTCATTGAATCTGTTGTTAAACTGAAATGATGTCTAGTTTGAAGCATTAACTACTTTTATAGAGATTTAATAGAAGATACTCATTTTGCATTAACATTAATTACTAATTGTAGTCGATGTTCCTTTTTAGGAACAAATGTTCATGAAGCCCAGCGTATTCTGAATGAAAGTGGACTCCCCATCACATCTGCAAATGACCTTGAGGATGCAGCAAAGAAGGCAGTGGCCAGCGTGGCCAAAAAATAACAACTTGAAGATTATTCTCATGGAAAGTGTGTGTGTTTCACAAGATGTCATTCCTGTTGTTATTTCAGAGAGGACTAGTGGAGTTTTTCTAAGCAGTCATCAGTGTTGGTGGATTTAATCTGTAATATATGGCAAACTCAGGCCATAGGCTTGCAGGATAGGCTTCAGAAATTTTGCAGCTACGTTCGTGAAAAGTTTGTATGTCTTCATCTAATTTTGGTAATTTTGTTGTTCAGAATTGTAATAAGTAATACGTATTATTTTTTTCTGCTTTCCTTCCAAAATTATCACTGATAAACTCATGATAAGATACAATAATTAATAATTAACTTCTATCAACAGGATTGATCTTTAATCAAACACAATATTTTCATTCTTTTTTTTATATTGTAAAGGGTCAGCAAACTAATAATGGGTTTATATTTTTTATGGACTTTTACAGTAATGTAAAAAATTGTGCTTACAATATCTATTTTTATTCAAATGAATAATGTTTATTTTCTTTTTTAGAAATCACACGTCTTGCCTTAAGATGATTTTCTTTTGTAGATGCCAAAGTATACCTCACAATAGGAAAAGGACCTTCCACTCTTATACTGTGCCTATAAGCTGGTGAAATGTGATTCATTTTATTTTCTAGTTTTTGGGAATGAGGTGCAGTGTTTCTAGGTGTAACAGTGCCATACAGAGAGCTCTAGGAGGTCTGCCAGTAAGAAAATGGCTGCTAACATTTTAAAATAACCTCTTTCATAAGTATGTCACTGCTGTGAGGTTTTAAAATAAGATGAGAACCTGAAGCAGTTTTCTGTCAGAAGCATGGAGTATTCTTGAATTGATTTCACTTCCAAAAGCCATTTCTGATTTATTGGGAATAAAACACAAATGAACTTTTCCATTTTTAAAGTATTTGATTTCTCAGGCAACAGTAAAAATATGTACAAGAAAAAAAGTTTCAGTACTCAGATATTGACCGAGATGTATTTTGATTATATATTCTTTTGTAACAGTCAAAATTCAAGCTGTTAGTTACACAAATCATTCATTCAGGGAACCAGAAGACAATACCAAATGGCTTGTGTGACTGAAGAACTCGGTACAAATCTCGCTCAGCCCAGGAGTTACATGCTGAAAATCATCAATAAATTTGAACAGTGAACAAATGAGTGGATACTATGATCTGGTGTTGTAAATGGGCAGAGAGGTAAAAATTTGTCTAATAAATTCTTAATTGTGATTTTTGAGCGGCTCTAATCAATACTGTGTTCTACTTAGAAAAATGTAAATAAATTTTTCTTGACATTTCCATTAAAACTGTTACATTCAAAATAAATTATCTGCACTAATCTCTGGCTCTTGACACAAATAGTATAGATAGGTTGCTATCATCAATTACTGTAGGTTTTTTCTTCTCCATTCCTTTCTCTACATATTGCTCACGGAAAAAATGTATGACCATTAGAATAGCAATAAATATGCCACTAGGTATGTACTTATTGACTGAATGAAGGAGAAGGGTATCGTTAGCAGTTCTCATGAAGGTGCATAGAAGCACACTGCTTTGAAAGAAGAAATGTTTACCTCACCACAATAAATAAAAAAGTTACACTCTATTTTATACATTTTAATGCTGGAAATAGAAGCATTCTGTGGAAGAACTGTTTATGCAATGTTGTCGCACACTGTGTGTCTAACTTCTGGTCTCAGAACCATTCATTGTGTGTGTATGTGATTTTTATTCTGCAAAGATTAACACTGTGTACACCGTTTCGTGAAATAAATGTAAAAATGAACCCATTTAATGACTTTGTCCTTTCTATAAAATAGAAAATTGTTTAATTTGTCTATTGTAGTCTGTGTTCTTCCATTCAGCATTTTGTTACAGGTGGGTGAAATCGAATGCATAGGAATTTAATTTCAATTGGGTAATATCGGTATACTCTTATATACGTGCTTTTTCTCTAAAAAAGGAAATCTTTTCATCTCTGTCTTTTCTTTTACATAGGCTAATGACAGTACACACAAGTTTTATTCCTCTTAAGCCATGTACAGAATAGAACACCGTAATTTTTAATTTTCAACTGTCACATGGAAAATTTCTTAAGCTCTGGGTTTGTATTTTTGAACGTTTGGCGTTTCACTTGTGCCAAGGCACTGTTCGCTCTCGGTAACCAGAGGCTCCCTTTCTCTGCTCAGCTTGGTGCGCTGTTGTGGACTGCTTTGTTTTTATTTGTGTGGGTCATTTCTCTGGGTATGGAAATGCGTAAAGTTAGTTTTGGTTTCCCTTGGAAAGGCGTTTTAGTTACATTTGCTGTGTTTTTAGCTGTTATAAATTGCAAGTAAACGCAATGCCTAGAAGGGATGCTTTTGTCTTTGCTCAAGCATGCAGAGTCGCAACCTGGCAGGAGTGCGGTTTGCTGTCCTCAGCAGCTGTCTGCCTGATTGCTGGCCCCCACCTCAGCGGGGCTGGATGCAAGCTCCGCTCCCGCCAGCCTCTTACAGCTTAAACCCAAAAGGCACGTGCATGAGAATTGCCCCTCCTGCAGAAAGCGAACAGCAGTGTAAGCAGCGGGTAAGTTCCAGTTAATCCCCTTTGCGAAAGTTTTAAGTAGGATTTAGTTAGCCTTTAAATCTTGAAATTTCAGCCTGTATTAATAAAGCTCTGTAGGATTGGGCACTTAGAAGGGAAAACAGGAGGAAACTGTTAATGCTGCCATTGTATTACATCTTTAACAAGATACCTTTAAATTCTCACCGTGAAAGCATAACAGCTGGGAGTTCTGGAGTAATGTCCTTAACGTGCATTTATACTATCCTATTTGTCAGGCCTGTTCTTCCCTGCATCCGGAAAAGCAGCTGGTATCATGCAAAATTGCTGTGATTGGAACAGTGTGTCAGTGCAAATCAGTCACCAGATGAGATCCTGAGCAGGGCTGTCCCTTCGCAGCAGAGTCTTTTTCCCCAGTGAGGAGCAGTGCTGTGCCGCTTGCCTTGCCCTCCAAGGTGAGCCTTGCCCGGTGACCTTGGGGATTTTCAGACCTGGCACCTACAATAACCTCTGGTTATTACGTGTCGGGTCGGCCTGGATGGTTCGCTTGCGCTGAGAGCTGAGCACAGTACTTGCTGAGTGTACTAAGAGTGGCCCGAAACACGGGTCTGAGCAGCCTCGCTGGGCTAGAAGAGCCGGGAGGTCTGTGTGCACAAGGCTAGGTGCTGGCAGAACCACGTCCTGTAATAAAAGCTGTCAACTTAGTTACAGAAATCCAAAAACCTCCTAGGCTTACTGCTGTATTACATGACATGTAAAATGCTAGTATTAGATGCTGCTGTAAGCCTCTGAACTGATTGCGAGATTTCATGCCTTGGTTTTCTTTTTGCTGCCTTTCAGAAAATTGGAGTTTCTTTCGAAGTCAAGGTCAGCTCTAGCAAGGGGCAAGGGGGGGAAAGCAGCTCATTGCACGTTTTGACTTACCTCAGTTTCATTCCCCTTCCTCTACTGAACTTCCTGGTTTTTTCCCCACTTTTCCACCCACATAGCTCACTCCCTGTGCTTCCTCACTACTTACGGTGTCGTCCTCAAAACTGGCAGAGTGCACACCTCTGGGTTTTGCTAGGTTTGCACGGTTGGGCTGGCTGGTCTGGAGCTGGATGCGTTGTGTGAGCATCCAGACGCCTGCCTGGGAGCTGGGAGTGCTCCAGTCAGCCCGTCTGCCGGCGCCAGCCTAACACCATGCTACCAGCAGGCATCAGCGACCGGGTGCGGCTGGTGTACGCCAGCCTAAAAGCTGTCCTAGAGTCCTCTCAATGCCTCTTCCCTACCTGTCCATCACTGACCTTGACCTCCTATGTTCTCCACTGGCTTCTATACAAAAGGATAAATGCAGGAGCAGAAATGGGCTGAGGAGCAGTTAGGCTTGCCTGTTCAGGAGTGCTGGGCTCTGAAATGGGGCTGTGTTTCAGAAAAGTTGTAGACAGATATGTTTGTAAGAGACAAGAGGAGTGAAAAGCATGGGAAAGCTTGACACGCATGTAAAGGGCTGCTTCAAAGAGAGAAGAAATACTCTTCCTGAAAGAGAAATAGTCTTCCTCAAGTCCAGTGTGGACAGGACAAGCAGTGAGGAGCTTTGACTGTGGTAAGGGACATTTAGGTTAGACTTGCAGCCATGAGGTAAGCCAAGGAACGGGCTGTGAAATCATCAATGGATGTTTTTTAGAGTTAGATGAGCATCTGTCAGGGATGGCTTAAGAAGAGTTGATTTTTGCCTCAGGGCAGAGGGATGGATGAGGTGACCTTCCTGCCTGATCTGATAGGATTTAATGCTTGTTGGTAAGGTTTTGTTTTCTTATTTTCTTCCTAACTTGTAGGTACAGGGAGGAAAAAGAAGGACAGATCTGGTGGATTCTTGAAAGAAACTGTTTTAATTTAGTCACCAAGAATGATCTGCAGCTGCCAGAGAAATGAAAAGCAGATTATGCAAACTCAAGACTTTCCCTAACAATGGGAACAGTGTTACTGCAATGCATAAAAGGCTGAGCAGAGAATTAGGGGTATCTATCAACTTTAATATGTTTAATTTAAAAAGGAACAGGTTGCACCAACAATTTTTTTTCTACTTAATGAGGCCCGTTCGTAAGTAGAATAACAGGATTTGCCTGTCACCCAGAGGAAATGACGGTATGTGTATTTGTACTTTGGTGCAAAACTTGTGTTGATCGCAGTGATTTAAAACTTTTTCCAGCCCAGCTGCAGTCAGTTTGATGTCGGGATCCTTTCATCCGGAGACAGATGCACCCTCGGTAGAATCCTGAACACGTCTGTGTCTTTGTTCAGCCTCACAAAGTACCAGCTAAAGATTAAAAATAAAAGTATACATGGATTATTGCATGTTATTCCTCAGAGTTAACCACTATGAGATAAGATTTGGCTTATCCAAGACCTGGCAGCCCGCTCCTGCAGACTGCAGAAGGATCTTTAGTGCATACATGAATTTGGGCTTTTGCATTTCCCTATTCTGCCCACGCTTGTGGGTTCTGATCAGTTTAGGGAGAGTAATAGCAGAACATTGCATAGCATACAATGCTCCCCATTTCTTGGGGCCATTCCTTTTCTATAGGAGTTAGAGCATTGAAGAGGGAAAAGGTTTTCTGTGTACCTTGGATCACAGTGCCAGGCTGGAGACAGGACTCGCCTCCATTCTGGTGTGTGGATAAACGCAGGCTGCTTCTGGTGAGCTACCCTTTCCACGTGCTGTTCGTGTAAGTACAAAGTGCCCTTGATGGGCAGGCAGAGGGCAAAGAACTGGGGGGGAACCCACAGGACT